ACACTAGTGTAAGTTACACTCTCAATCTCGTCCGTTGATTCCATTTATATCTAAGGGCTCAATTTTTTTGATAATGTGAGTCATTGGATACAAGTGAATCAATGGTTAAAATTGAGTGTAACTTACACTGGTGTAAAATGATCTTGACCCATATATATATATATATATATATATATATATATATATATATATATATATATGGATTTTATAAGAGTTATGTTGTAGAAAAAATGATTGTATAATGTTATAGAAATTCGTTTTGCGTGCATTAATTTTTTCTTTTTGCTTCAAAAAGTGCGGGCCCCACGAAATATTGTGTGTGTAGGAAACTTTTTGTGTGTCATGTGACACGATAGATGCAAATTTCTCTCTCTATATATATATAAAAGAAGGATCCGTTTATAAATTACACCAAATTTGACCGGTCATACACTCTTAATTAAAGTATGACCGGTCAGACAAAGTGTAGTTTGTAAATAAAAAATTTGTAAATATAACATTCCACACACACATATATATAGAGGGGGGGGGGGGTTTAAATATTCATACTACCAATTTTTACTACCACTTTAATTAGGGGTGTTCGCGGTCTGGATTGGAATGATTTTGGAAGCAAAAATCATCAATCCAATCTCTTCGGGTTGATCATATAATCATTTATTCGGTTTTGATTTTTTTTCAAATCCGATCCGATCCAATCCAATTTTTTTCGGTTTGGATTTGATCGGTTTTCGATTTTTTGAAAATCCTAAAATTTATTTAATGATTATTGTGCAAATAACATCTTTTGTATATATTGGCTTTGTAAATTTATTTATTTTGAGATACAAAGCATTAATAAACTATAATATAGTTTTTTTTTTGGCAATGAGATATGAAACTTTACAAAGATAAAATTGTGTTGATGAGATGCGACTAGATTTTTTCTTGGGTTTAGTTGATGTGTTAATGGGTTTAGAAATTTTTAGGCTATGATTAGGGAAAGACCCAAGTAGGTAGAGAGGAATTAATATATTGGATTGGATCGGTTTTCATCAACCCATCAAAAAACTGATCCAATCCAATTGAAATTTGCGGTTTCTAATCGGTTTTCGGTTTTTCAGTTTTCGGTTTATTCGATTATCGATTTTTCTGTTCGGTCACCGCGGTTTGAATCAGTTTGGATCAGTTGATAAACACCTCTAACTTTAATCATCATTGGATTAGAGAAAAAGTTGAATGAAGAGAGAGAAAAGAAAAACAATTTTTGAATCCAATGATGATTAAAATGATAACAGAGTGATAGTAGAAAAAATTAATAATATGAATATCCTACCTTATATATACATATATATATATATAGGGAGGGTTATATTTACAAATTTTTTGTTTACAAACTACATTATGTACTCCCGGAAGAACACTAGATTATACTATGTTCTCTCGGGAGTATAGTGTAATTTGCAAAAATTTGTAAAAAAAAATTTGTAAACTGATTCTTCGCATTTTTGCAAATTACACTGTGTGTACTACTGTACTAATGTAGTTCCGGAAGTACAGAGTGTATTTTATATTATAAGAGTTGTAAACAAAAAATTTATAAATATAACCCTCCCATGGATTATTACCAATTTTAGGAAGGATATTAAGCAAATCATTGGTGTAAAAGAAGCCACGCTATAGAGAGTGGGTTTCTGTTTCTTCCTGTAATATCCCTCGCAACAAGCCTGGCTAGTACCCAGAAACAATATAGATTCATGTGACGGAAAGGTCCAAAATGGTGCGAGATGCAAAAGGCTGTCACCCTCCCTCTTCCAAATATAACTGGACATTTGAATTCTTTTATCACATAATGGACCCACAATCAGCTTCTTTATCATTAGTAACGTTGATTATCATAATATTGCCCGAATCTTCAATACCATTATGTCAAGCCAATTTTCCACCACCATCTTCTTTAAAGCTTGCACATCTTCCGTCCTCGTCGCTTGTTTGGGAGCATGTCTATGCTAAACGCAACGCACACACACTAAAGAAGAAATAAAGTAAAAAAAAGAAAGTGGTTGATGAAACAGCCATTTCCACATTTCATGCGTAGAAAATAGAAAGCACTTTTTTTTTTGAAGTATATATTTATTTTTGGTAACCGATCCTAATTACCTCTTTGAGGCGAATCAGAACTCCCGGTATCTCCATGGGTTCGACTCTTTGAGCCGGACTAATCCAGAGTTCGGGTGCGAGTCCAAGGATTACGGTACTTATGCCTCTCCCCAGATGGTGTTGGTGGGATTCGAACCAAGGTCCTCTCCCACCACTCCTGGTCCCCATGCTACCAACTGAGCCACCACACTTGAATTTTTTTTTAAAGTATTAACATGGAGGTATCCCGTTCAACTTTTTTTAAATTTTCATTGGTGCGGCGAATGTATTAAATAATTATCATCGAAGAGAGAATGAGACTAATTCCCAAGTGAGATTTAGAGTGCAAGAGTATCACTTATGACGCAAAGAGCATCGGCCAAAAATCAAATACATGAACATATCCTTTAAACACAGTTCACTATCAAGTGTGCCCACCCCTCGGGTTAAAAAGCACTTTCTTTAGCTATTGTAAACACTCTCTTCCGAATAAATTATTTCACTTTAATGATTCAGTTAGTCATATCTACTTCGATAATGGCAAGATTATCATTGACTTCCATTGTTAAATGTAATTGGATAGAATATTAATTAGTCTTCTATTGAAACCACGCTTAAGATCTTAATAAAGCAAAAGCGGATATTGGAATTAATTAGAATGGCATGTTATATAATATAATAAGGTGAGTGATGAGTAGCTTCTTACTCGGCCTCCAACTTGTTACCATAAACTTTTTCCCTGTTTGAGTTCACAGCTTCGTTGGCCCACCAAGCCTGCTTCGCCATGTGATCATCCAAAGGATCTTTGACTAATCTTCTTTTCGCTTCTTTTCCCATTAATCATATGTAATTATGATTCACGATTTTACATACATACTGCAGGCCCTGTCTCTGATCTCACGCATTATCCTATACCTTTTGTTTGTCTTCAAGTCAGATACTTCTTAACCCTTTAACTTTATTTCATTCATCATTTGTCGTCACTCCCAATCATCCATTGGAGGCAGAAAAGTTGTTGTACCATGTGGAATTCATGCTTTATGACCTCGAAGAATATTATTTGCACAAACTTGTAAGATATCACAAAGAAGGTTGCGTAGAAAAGATAAAAAAATAAGATTAATATTTTTCACATTATAAAAAATAACACATAAAAATATATAAAACTCATGAAATTACGTAAAGGAAAAAGAAAAAAAAGAAAAAAAATATAAATCTTGTGTACATATACAAAATAAATATATGATAATATTAGTATTTTATATAGATACAAAACAGTACGTTTTCAATAGTGTGATTTTCACTTTGACAACTGTTTCTTAACCCTTTTCATTCATATGTAAGGGAAATCATCTTCTTATGTAATAAGAGATAATTTTCTCATGCTATGAGACATCAAAAATCGTGCTGTCCTTTTTGTTTTTTCTTTTCTTTTTTAACAAGTAGTGAACCCCACCATTTATTATATCTATGACATGAGAGATGATATCTCATGTGACATGAGAAAAAAGAAACCCTTCCTATAATATAATGATTGCCGTAGACATCATCAACAGCATAGGTGTGTTTTCTAGACTAATTATTTGACAATAACATCAGCATGGAAAGTACAACACCATCTTCACTATTTATATGTAGAAATTATCTTTTGTCCGCACAGTGAAGAATTACTGTATACGTATTCTTTTGTACAGACGGAAATATTTTTTCTCTCCAACTATCATCCCCTTAATGAAAAGACTACCGTAGGTCCGAATCACTTAACTTTTTTTCCTTGAAGGGACACAATTACGGTGAAGTTCTCAAATTCCAAACCTATGGAATGGTGCCAACAAACCTTATTCTCGGGGACAACTAGACTACTTTTGGAACTTCCATATTATTAATATTTATATTTTTGTTATACACTTGATCCGTAAGACACATGGATGTCTGATTGTGACGTATACCAAATTAGTAACTATTTTCGGCAACCAGTGCTAAAAGAACTCCATGGGGCTCGAGACATTGTGACAAGTAATAGCTGCCAGCAATCGCAAGTCACAAGGGCATTGTCTCCTATAGAGAGAAAAACACCATTCACCTAAAGGTAAAATAAACCAAATTTAGCGGAAGAATGCAGCTTTTGCCTATTAGGTGTGCTGGCAGATACAGTTCTCAAAAGGAGAACAGAGAAAAGGGAATAAATGCAAGTTCTCAACTAACAATAAAGAAACAAAGTCTAGAGTATAAATAAGTGCAACTATTATCTAGTAGCTAAATACTAATATGTGAGACATATATGCTGATATAAATGTGCAAGTATTATTATTTAAAGCCAATACAAAAAAAAAAAAGCAGTGTGTACGTTTATAACGAAATCAAATTTGTCATAATGGCGAAGATGATTCCAATTCCAAAAAGCGAAAGCCTCTTGAAATTACAGAATATATGACACATCGGTCATGATGGGGTGGTAGATGGATGACAGACAGTCAACACAATCTGATTAAGCATCTGATTCGTGCACACTTTAATTCGAAGCAAAGACGATCATTGAGCACAACAAAGAATCATTGAAACATTTTTTCAAATCATTTCATAGCTGGCGATGAAGGACCACCATACTCTTTTACAAATGATTGACTAAAGTAATCATGAACTAGGACCTATCCAGAGAAAAAAACAAAAAAAACCACTTCGTGTTAAATACGACTAACGAGTATGAGATGGACACAATACTTATACGCAACCTTACCCTTATATGATCGAAAAGAGACTGTTTTCTGGATTCGAACCCATGACCTTTCAGTCATGAAAGAACAACTTTAACAGTGTTCCGGTTCGCTCCCTTTTTACCTATCCAGATAAAAATAAAATTAATTATTGTTTTGGTTGCAACTGCATAATATTTTTAGCCTTAACTTAGTAGATCTTGATTGACCATACAAGGAAAGTGCATTATAAGTTTGACGGTGGTTCTCAAATGGAGTACTAAAGCTCTAAAATTCTAATGACAGAATATATGAAACAAATTTAATTTATTGGAAAATTTTGAGCTATAAAACCAAAACCTTGGTAATATATACAAAATGCGTAAGATTTGTTGGCTCGTGCAAAATGTGCCAAGGAATCTTCTTCAGTCAAGTTTCCTTCTGACCAGTCCTTTGAAAAAATCAAAGCTGAAACCACAGTAGAGAATTATTTTGAATTGCAATTGATATAATAATCAGGTCATGCAATAACATAATTTGAAACGTTCTTTTCATTTATATATATGTACCACATGAGTTGATCACTGTTTCTGATAACTACATGTGTGCTTCAAATTTCAAAAGTTCAAAGGCCTAAATTGTGCATGTTCATTACCTATTACCATCTGGGTGGAGCTCACACATTTGATTGTCATCACCGACAGCCAACAAATATCCTGAGGATGTCAAACCCTACGCATAAAAACAATTAAATAATAGAAAGCTTAAATTACTTTCCGGCAATGATGACTACCGAAATCAAGCCATCAATATTACCATCAGAAATGGCTGGCAGATAATTTACATAAATTACATTCTCTCACATGATGTAAATGTAACAATTTCATTTTTGAAAATTTCTAACCTTGTCATTAATAATCAATAGCATAAATTGCATAGTCTTTCACACTTAAATTTTTTTAAATCAAGTGCGAACTAGATCTTTGCTCTATCCAAATTTAAGCAAGTCAAGAGAAACAGTTTTCGGCTGCCAAACCTGAATAGTTACCACATGTTCGACCACTTTGTCCTCGTTCTTTTCCTGTACAACAACTCTCTGTCCACTGCATAACATTTTGAATATATAGATTAAATCATTCCATATATATACATAAGCAAAATTTGTTTTTTCCGAAAAAAAAGCATAAATTTGATGATGAATACAACATAATGTTTAAAACTTCAGTTCATCTGCTAACTAAAACCAAAGAATTTGAGTTCAGTTACAATATGTTTGGGAGTTCAGACCTGACTCCTTCATGATTAAAATTACCATGTATTATGCGTAAAAGCCTAAAAGGAAGTAAAGTTTATAAGTTTAAGACAGCGATTATTTGCTAGTTTTAGTGATTTAGCTTTCAAATTGAAAGGATAAAAAGAAAACGATGATAATACACACACACACATAAATATACAGGTCCCACATAATTCAATCATGTAGAAATCAATCTTGGACAGAGAATCAACGGAACTTTCATTTAAAGGTAGGGTGTGGTAGAGTCAATAGTCAAGGGTGCTCCTCTATCTGAAAATATTAATGATAATGACTTACAAATTATTATGCAGCCACACAAGATTGAAATTTATTCAAATGAACACAAGGTTAGTCACCGAAAAATCAGGGGAATGCATGTCAATGTGTCATAAAATTTAAAGGCAACTTTTTACCCAAATAAATAAAAATCAAGGGCAACTGTAACCAGACTAGGATTTTTTTCATCCCATAAATAATAGGTACCATTCAATTCTCTTAGTCTTAATATGAATGTCCTTGCCAAAAAGGAGGGGAAAAAAATTCAATATAAACTACAGATTAGAGTACTTAAGATTTCAAGTCACCTGTGCAACCATGTCTTACAATATAGATCCTCTAGAGTTTGAAATCCTGCATTCATCAGAATAGGCGAAGCACAAAATTACCTTAAATGATGATATACAGTGATGTAGAATATTGGGTGTCATTGGTTACTAATCATCGCAAAATACAATAAGTTTAAGAAAACTCTGAAGTCTGGAAACAACTTAACAGTAAAATTTTAATTGGAAATGCACCATTTTGGATGTCTATTTTTTATTATTCTTTCAAGTAAGTGTATTTTGACATTACATTGGTCATCCATTTATCGGAAACATTAAATTCGTCCTTTAATGGTAATTAATTGTTGTGTCTTGGAGCCCAACCTTAGTGTCAATCAGCCCGGCCTTCTTCAGGTCGGTTTGCGAAAGCGACAATGAACAGTAACAATAAAACAAATTAAAAATAGAGATAAGGAGGAAGAGAACACCAAGAATTTTAATGTGGAAAACCTCTTCGATGTGAAGAATAAAAACCACGGGACCAAGTTCAGAAAAACTCCACCATAAATAATGGGATTTACAAACAATTCTCTCTGACTCACTAATCAAAGAACTTCACCCTCTAAAAGATAGATCTACTTACAAGTGTCTCACACAAGTTCTTCTCTCTGTAAAGGAGATAAGAAATCCTACTCTACAAGATAGTCTTCTTCTTCAGTGATAGCGTTGGGTTTCTTCCTTAGAGAATCTTCGTCTCTGGCTTGCGCTCATCTCCTTCGCGTCTGCGTCTTTTTCTTTGCTTTTTCTCTCTGACGGCTCAACATCTAAGTATATCTTATAAACAAGAGATTAAGGCATCATCAATTTGGGCCAGGTCCATCATGGGCCACGGACCCAACAAATCTCCCCCTCCGTGCCCATGAGGGAGGATATCCGAGCTCCCCCTCATCTGGGGTATGGGGCCGGGGTAGTCAAGTCGGCACTTTCACAACAATCTTCAAACTTCCATGTTGATCATGTCCGACCAGTTCAGGTCAATATACACCTTGTTGAGCTGCAGAAACTTCTCTTCTTTCACATCTCGGATCCAATGGTACCGCACTTCTATGCATGATTCTCCAAAAATAATGTGCACAAATGACCGACATTCGAATACCTTCTGATGCTCGTACTTTGCTTTACTGCCCGTCCAGACATTTTCTGGGATGTCTCTATCTAGAGGACTGAAGGGTGATAGATTGATCAGTCCACTGCAGTCTTGACGGCTTCTTCCCAGAACGCTTTGGGAAGATTGACACGTGACAGCATACTTTGGACCCGTTTTTCAGTGGTCCGATTCATCCTTTCAGCTACACCATTCAACTGAGGTGGCTTTGGAGGTGTTTTCTCCAGCTTTATACCTGCCGCTCTGCAATACATCTCAAATGGACCTCGGTATTCTCCGTCGTTGCCAGCTTGGATGACCTTCAGCTTCCTGCTGGCCTCCCTTTCAACCCTTGCATGGAACTCCTTCAGTGTTTGGAGTACCTGATCTTTCGTATTCAGCAAGAATACCCACACTCTTCTGGTGTGGTTATCAATGAACGTGACGAAGTAGTACGCACCACCTAGAGATTTCTTTGACATAGAACACATGTCAGTATGAACAAGATCTAGAGCATACCTCCTTTTTCTAGGTTAGTCCGGTCTCTTGAACGAAACTCGACATTGCTTGACAGCTAAACAATGTGTGCATGTCTCCAAGAGTTGACCTTTCAAGTTCGGCAACAATTCCTTCTTGGCGAGGATTTGCAGACCCTTCTCACTTATGTGTCCGAGTCATTTGTGCCAGAGCTCCAAACTTGATTCATCTTGCATCGCATTGGTTTCTCTATTGCCGACCTTCCCTTGTATAACATAGAGAGATCCTTCTTTCTTACCTCGGGCTACCACCAAGCTACCTTTGGCAAGTTTCCATCTTCCACCACCAAAGTAGTTTACCACCCGGCTTCATCGAGCTTTCCTGCTGAGATGAGATTGAGCCGCATATCAGGAACATGTCTGACTTCCTTCAGAACCAATTTACAACCCATGTAGGTCATCATCGTGACTTCTCCAACTCCCATTATCTTGCTGGTAACCTGGTTACCCATCTTCATGATACCAAAGTCGTTGCCTTGATATGATGAAAAGAACTCCTTGTGGGGAGCGATATGGAAGGATGCTCCTAAGTTCACAACCCATGAACAATTGTCATAGGCTATATTTAAGTAGTTGTCTTCACCAATCAGGAAGACATCGACCTCGGCCTTGTCTGCTACAGCCGTGGTGCTCTGCTCTTCTTTCTTCTTCGGATCTATTGCATCCGGCTTGACATTGCCCGTCGTCTGATCCTTCTTTAGAGTCCGACATTCTGACTTCCAGTGACCCAGTTTTCCACGGTAGAAGCATGTGAGATCTGGCCTTGACTTTGACCGACCTCTGGAGTTGACACGACCTCGGCTTCTACTTCAACCTCAACGTGTTGTTCTTCCACGGTTTTCAACAACATTTGCTTCATTCTGCTGGGTTATACCTCGTTCTTTCCTTCTAGCCTCTTCATTCGACAGACTGTCTGCAACCGAGTCCAGTGTCATCTTTCCTTCTAGGGCCGAGTTGTTGAGCGTCACCACTAAAGTATCATAGCTCTCAGGTAACGAGTTGAGTAGCAAGAGAGCTTGCAACTCGTCATCAATCTTCATGTCAATCTTTGTCAGCTGATTGACGATCCTCTTGTATGTATTCAAGTGCTCAATCATTTTTTGTCCGTCCTTGTAGTTTAGCTTCACAAATAGGCGCATCAAGTGTGCTTTGTTGCGTGGCATCTTCTTTTGGATTAAGGATTTTGGCTTTGTCCACAGCTCGTGAGCGTTTGTGTAGGTCGACACATGCTCGAAAAAGCTCTTGTCGATGTATTTGCGGATCATAGCAACCGCCTTCCTATTGAGGAGATCCCACTCTTTGTCGCTCTTCCCTTCTGGCTTGTCCACGCTCAGAATGGGCTCATATAAATTTTTGCAATAAAGATGATCCTTCATCATAGGTTTCCAATATGAGTAGTTCTTCCGGTGAGTTTGAATACATCACCATCATGTGCTATAGCACCCTCCATCTCTGACCTCACAGAGCCCTTGATCTAAGAGCTCTGATACTACTGTTGTGTCTCGGAGCCCGGCAGTTTTCAGCCCGACCTTGATATCAATCAGCTCAGCTTTGTTCAGGTCGGTTTGCGGAAACGACAATAAACAGTAACAATAAAACAAATTAAAAACAGAAATAAGGAGAAAAAGAACACCAAGAATTTTAACGTGGAAAAACTCTTCGATGTGAAGAGTAAAAACCACAGGAACAAATCTAGAAAAACTCCAGTATGAATAATGGTATTTACAAACGATTCTCTCTGATTCACTATTCAGAGGACTTCATCCTCTAAAGGATGGATCTACTCACAAGTGTTTCTCTCTATAAAGGGGATAAAAAATCATACTCTACAGGATAGTCTTCTTCTTCAGCGATAGCGTTGGGTTTCTTCCTCAGAGAATCTTCGTCTCTGGCACTTTTCTCCTGCGCGTTTCTGATTCTTCGCGTCTTTTTCTTTGCTTTTTCTCACTAACGGCTCAGCATCTAAGCATCTCTTATAAACAAGAGATTAGGGCACCATCAATTTGGGCCGAGTCCATCATGAGCCACAAAACCAACTTTAATAGCCATTGATTTTGTTCTTCTACGTACCAATTTGATGGCATAAATTGGCATTGATTTTGATGTACTTATAAATAGACGACAAACCTAAGGACTAGTTGTGACGACCCCGTAAAAGGTATCTGCATTTTCAGAGAAAGAGAGAGAGATCGTAAAAACAAACAAAGGAAAGGGAGAAGAATACTTTGGTAGTGTTTGAAGATCCCAAGTAGAGAATTATCCTTCCAAGGGTTTATTCTTCAAAAACGATTTATGTTATGATCCAGTTGTAAGGTATCGGACTTGGAGTCTCACATCGGAAACATAAGGTTCTGGGGTAGGGTTTATATGGACTTTAGACTCTTCTACCTTTAAAGCTAGTTTTTGGGGTGAGACTCTCCCAAGTTTTGTATCAATTGGTATTAGAGCTTCTATTATGTCTCTCAGTTGCAATTGAGTGGCACGACTGATGACGTAGGCTTTGCAGTGTTCATCAAGGGCTAGTAAAAATCTAGCGCCAAGCTTGGTCGGGTGGGCGCAGGGGCTACGGAGCATGGGGGGGGGTCTTATGATCCAGTTGTAAGGTATGAGATTTGAGTCCCAATCGGAAACATAAAGTTCTGGTGTGAGGTTTATATAGACATTGAGCTCTCCTACCTTACAAGCTGACTTTTGGGGTGAGGCTCTCCCAAGGTTCGTATCAGTTTCCCCATTCATAGTAAAGCCTTTGCTTAGTTCTCAAATCTGAATTCCCAATTGCCCCCTCCTACCTTGCTCCAACTATTAAAGCCTGAACCCCTATGCGTAGCTACCTATCCCCTTGATAGATTCTAATTGTAACTAACTAAACAAACATCCAAGCGTTTAACTAACTTTGATTCATTTCCAATTTATTCTTATGTGTCCTATCAATGCCAACCCCCTTGAGGTTCAACCTTGTCCTTGAGGATGGGATCTAGAAGCTATATGCTAATTGTCTTGCTCGTGGGCCTCTAATTGCACAATTTCTCCATCTTTATCCAATTGCCCGTTTTCTCCCCAAATAGTGAGTGACCCACATGCTCTTTTGTGGATATCGGTGTGTTGGTCTAATTGGTTGGCTATATGGGAAGCATTTCCTTTCTTCTTGTCATCTGACATACACTTGATAGAGAAGTTGTTGTGCTCCTTAGTTTCTCGGTGTATAGTTGTTACTGCCGCTTAGGGGTGATAATTCGTATCAGCAGGTTGAAATCTGACACGAACACAAATACACTTGACATGAATAAAGATTCATGTCAAAACCTTCGACATAAACACGATATGCTCATTTTGCGAGTCGACATAACACAACACGAATAACATGTGTACTATACCAATGTCATGTTGATATAACACGACAATACACAA